ATTGCAGTGAATGCCCGTGCTATGCCACTGTGCACAATGATTCATTAACTTTTCGACAGTGTAGAAGAGGTGTCAAATCCGTGCAGTTGCCACCATTTTACAACTTTAGACGTCGATATCCCAGCAATGGTTTTGCAAGTAGACGCCATACAGTGGGAGGCGTTCGGTGAAAACAACAGCGTCGCTGCGCGGCAAAAAGTTCCAGCTATGTACCTTTTTTAGTACTGAAGCGTGAAGGGCGTAGGGAGGCATGGCGCAACGTGGTCTAACTCGCGCACCCTGCAGGGGCGGATCCAAGATTATTGGAAGGGGGGTCCATTTCTTTTTAGGAATGACAGGTCTCTGATGCAAAACCTTGGCTTGGGGCTCGGGGCCCGCTGAAGGGCCCTAAAAATTTGGTATTTTAGAGGGCAAACGGTGTCATTTGGTAAATGGCGGCTGTTGATACACTGCCAAGCAGAGTCGGACTTTAATTGTCTACACTGTGCTGGGGACTGCCACTCTGATATTGGACCTTTCCAGCCATACTCTCCATTACAATATCAGGACAAATAGTCCAGTCCAAAGCACAATCGTGTAGTCTTTCTAGACGTACAGTGCCAATGAATGAATTTTATTTGCTATTAGATAAAGTAATGGTTAACTGTTTAAGGCTCTATTCCCATAGATTTTAGATCGATCTATCCCGTGGGAATTCTCACTAGATTACTTTCAGATGATCCAACTTAAATGTCCGTCCCGCCTACTACAAGCTGTAAGGGGGTAATTAACTTATGTGTCCGCCCGGCTGACAGCTATTTAGCGTGAACCCCCAGGGAGTTAGGTCGATCTAAAGTAGGTCGATCTAATCTTTGGAAATGGGGTGTAAGGCTACCTACACAGTTGGTGATAGTTCCGTCTCAGCGTGATATCCACCACGAGGCAGAGTATCCTCAGCCGCCATTTACCTGTGGTCCGAAACTGCAAGCCGAAAAGAACACTATTAGTGATTAATAGAAATTAATAAAAAGAAACATGTTATAATTGTTATGTTTATTTTTCACAAACGTTGTTTGTTTTAATAAGACAGTTTTGAGCATTAAATACAAAATAATAGAAGGAAGAAAATCGTTGTCTAGAATACATACAAAACAGCCTATAAGGCTTGCAGTACTCTCCTATATATGTATAAATTTTTTTGAAATATTTTATGGTTGGAAAATATCCTAGTTCTATACGAGGGCAAACGCCCCTTCAATACAGATATTGTGACATAATAAAAATGAGTTCTGTACACTTAACAAGAAATAGACAATAAAATGACGCCAGCGACACAAACATTTTATGCAATTTGCATAGCTGCTGTATCACTTATAAATTGCCGATTATTTCTTTCCATATTGGAGGGTACTATGGTGAAAAAAAAAACAGTGGAAATTATGGAACAAATCAAAATTACGCCAATATGATAAAAAATGTTCACATTTTTGTTGAATTAGTACTTCGTTATAAGTTAGAAATCTTAGAAATATTCACAAGTGGACAATCCTAAGACTCCAGAGAGGATTGATGTTGTGTCAGGTGAGAACAGGTAATTTTCAATTGTATTTGTCTTAGGGTTTCTCTGTTCGAATAGTATGGTGACCGAGAAACATTCGGTTTTACACCAACGGACTTTATTTTTGCATTTTGATGGATATTAAAAGCAGGTTAAAATTGTACAATGCTCAAAGAATCCCATCTTTATATGTTAGTCAAAGATCACAACAAAGAGTTATGGGTTTTGTATATCTGAGTTGTGTTTTGTTCTTTTTTTCTCTCTTATGTGGAAATCTTTGTACACTTTCCGAAAATGCCACGGCCGTCTTCAGTAAAAAAAAAAAAAGAAAAAAAAAATATTAGGAACTGAACTTTCTGATGGGTCTTAATTGTCAGTTAGTATTTTTCTTTCTGTAGTCTATCTTTTCCAGTCTCTTTCCCGCTCTTGGTGATATCTTCATGGTATTTCTAGCCATCGACGCAGGTCACGGAACCACGAGAACCTACAAAAAGTTTTATAACTTACAGGTAAAACTATAAAAGTGATAACCTTCGCCCAACATACAGTGTTGCGACGAAATAACGTTGTATGAAATGGCATTAATTTCATTTCGCCTGTTTTCGAGTGTGTTCTGTTCAGTGAGGATTTTCTTCTGTACATTTTTTATGTGTGAGACTACTTATTGCCGACTGCATTTTAATCATGTTTATCATTAGAAAACAATATGTAACATCTAACATCTGTGGTTGTCGTTTTTCACATTTTAATTAGAAAAGCTATCCAATTTCAACATCTCAGCTGTTATCCCGAGTATGAAGAATTATGCTTTTTAGAGCTGTTTTCATGTGACTCACCGTGTTTTGTAGCGGCAGCATCACATAATTTCTTAAACTTGCCGCTGGAGACCAGTTTGCTGAATCCCGCGTTCCATTTTGAGTTGAAGTCGATGTCTTTCCTAGTCATCATCCCAATGCCGGACAACATGCAAGAAAACCCAGCCCCGGGGACTTGTTCAACCTCGGATACATAGTCTGCCATGTCTAAGGCAGACACGAAGGCCGCTTCTATCTATTTGTGAAAAAAAAGAGTAGATTAAGACTAGGATCCCATACCTAAATCGATTTAACAGGAGCGGTCTAAGGGGTTTCACGCTAAAATGCTTTCAGTTTAAGCGGCTTAGATGTCTGGAACGCCTGCTAAAGCTGCTAAACGATAAATAACTATCCCCTAGCTGCTTCAGTAGACGTGACAGGCATCTAAAATTGAGCGAGAATCCCCGTGGAGATAGATAGGCTCTGGGAACGGTTTCTTAGTTTCCACCAAACATGATTGTGTAGCATTCTCCTCATCGTAGGCATACTGTATGAATTTAAATATGTCAATTCTCCTGTAATATATGACGAAGTCAAATTCCGTTTTATCTGCAATGTCTCAAGAGCACTGAACACTTTCTACATTTCAAGATCGGAATCGAATACGCTATATATCTTAGTTCTCCACTTTTCAACTTGGCAACGATATCTGCAGGGTTATTAACGTGGACGATGGTCATATTGTCCTGACCCGTGACGTCAATCCATTTAGCCAGACATTTCTCGTCACTAGCCCAACCATCAATGAAACCTTGAATAATCAAATAGATTAATTTTCTATTTTATATTACTATTTCTATTACCTACCTGAATGACAATACAATGGTAATACATTGATACAGGTAATCTATATGATACACGGATTTATTTAAAGAAAAACTAAACAAGACTAACAAGACAACTTCATAAGGGACGGCTACGGGTGATTTAGCAGTCTCTATATGAATCTTCTGAGTGAATACAGTAGGGGAGACCGGGGCTAGTTGGACCCCGGGGTAAGTTGGCCCCCCATTTTTTTTATGACTAAGTAACTATGGGGTAAAAGAATTGATCACATCAATTTGTGAAGTGACCGTATCCAACGGTGCTAAGAAAACGTCGGCAGTGAGTCCAAATGAAATAATTTAGCATCTTTTAAAAGTAACTTTATTAAAGAGACTTGATGGGGGTCCAACTTGCCCCTTTGTAGTTTGGAGAAAGTATAACTGACAGTTATTACAGAAACAGACTGTAACTTGAAGAACATAACACTGTGAGCTGTCGACGTTTTATTGTTGAAACACTTAAAATATCGTCAACAACTTTTTTCTTAATACAGTATAGTAATGCTTATCGACATACAGAATATGTGTCTTACCGATTTTCTTGTTAGCTACATTTCTGGATGGAAACGAAGCCGCGTTCCCAGTCTTCGTAAAAAAATAGCTGGTTGGGGGCTTGAGGAATGGCGAAGAAAAGCTGAACACCTGGATTCTCCCTATGGTTGGAAACCAGCCGGTGCAAGCATCATACCAACGACCCATCAAACCTGAAATGTTTTAGTTGCAATAAAAAAAAAAAAAAAAAAAAAAAAAAAAAATATATATATATATATATATATATATATATATATATATATATATATATATATATATCAGTAATATTACTTCCGAATTCCGCAGCCTCTTTTGCGAAATTAACAAAGATTGAATAATATACTAGAACACATATTGAATACCAAGTGCACCAAGTGCTCGTTTTATTTGTCTATTTGCGGTTCAATTATATTCCCCAATATTGTTGATATAAATGATAGAAAACAAACTGCTGCCCCAGGCATACCATATGCTTCAGTAATATTTTGAGAACAGGAATATACGTAGTCAGACAGAACTTACATGGGCAATGTCGATTCCCAAACAACTAAAAGACCAAAAACATTCATTTTTGAAAAGAATGGGGATAAATCTGGATTTTTCATTGCAATAAGTCATATTTATGTGACGAAGTTGTTATCTTTATCTTTTGCTGATATCTGCACACACACAGACATACCCCCCCCCCCCACACACACAAACATCACTTACCCTGGCCGCCGTGAGAGGGTGTCCTGGGGTGGAGTCCCAGCAGTTGACGTACTTGTCCCATACAGTACGACAGTCCATGCCGGCCTCGGTGCAAACTAAAAAGATATCAGTATTCCAAAATTAAAAAGACACGGTTTTACATGTAGACCCTATCTAATAAAATGCACTAATAGGCCTATGTCGACCCAGTATGTTACCTGTGTTACCTACAATATTTTTTTAAATTGCCTGTCATGGAAATCATCCGAGATTGTCTAAACCGAGGCTGTCAGTAATGGATGACGTTACACAAGATTAGAAAATGTACAAAAACCCGCGTGAGCTGGGGCTCAGCTTTTAACAAAAGGGTGAAATTCTGTGCACCGGTAATGTCTTCTTTCTAGTCCTACATAATACAAATGTGAATACTCTGTACACACAGGGACTGTTGTGCAAAAGACAACAAAAGCTTAGGTGAAATTATCCATGGATAAATTCCGTCATCTTTTCTTTGTTTCCNCAAGTCTCTGATGCAAAACCTTGGCTTGGGGCTCGGGGCCCGCTGAAGGGCCCTAAAAATTTGGTATTTTTAGAGGGCAAACGGTGTCATTTGGTAAATGGCGTCTGAGGATACACTGCCAAGCAGAGTCGGACTTTAATTGTCTACACTGTACTGGGGACTGCCACTCTGATATTGGACTTTTCCAGTTCCCATTGCAATATCAGGACAAATAGTCCAGTCCAAAGCACAATCATGTAGTCTTTCTAGACGTACAGTGCCAATGAATGAATTTTATTTGCTATTAGATAAAGTAATGGTTAACTGTTTAAGGCTCTATTCCCATAGATTTTAGATCGATCTATCCCGTGGGGAGTCTCACTAGATTACTTTCAGATGATCCGACTTAAATGTCCGTCCCGCCTACTACAAGCTGTAAGGGGGTAATTAACTTATGTGTCCGCCCGGCTGACAGCTATTTAGCGTGAACCCCAGGTAGTTAGGTCGATCTAAAGTAGGTCGATCCAAGAAGTTATAACTTCTTGGTCGATCTAATCTTTGGAAATGGGGTGTAAGGCTACCTACACAGCTGGTGATAGTTCCGTCTCAGCGTGATATCCACCACGAGGCAGAGTATCCTCAGCCGCCATTTACCTGTGGTCCGAAACTGCAAGCCGAAAAGAACACTATTAGTGATTAATAGAAATTAATAAAAAGAAACATGTTATAATTGTTATGTTTATTTTTCACAAGCGTTGTTTGTTTTAATAAGACAGTTTTGATCATTAAATACAAAATAATAGAAGAAAGAAAATCGTTGTCTAGAATACATACAAAACAGCCTATAAGGCTTGCAGTACTCTCCTAAATATGTATAAAATTTTTTGAAATATTTTATTGTTGGAAAATATCCTAGTTCTATACGAGGGCAAACGCCCCTTCAATACAGATATTGTGACATAATAAAAATGAGTTCTGTACACTTAACAAGAAATAGACAATAAAATGACGCCAGCGACACAAACATTTTATGCAATTTGCATAGCTGCTGTATCACTTATAAATTGCCGATTATTTCTTTCCATATTGGAGGGTACTATGGTGAAAAAAAAAAACAGTGGAAATTATGGAACAAATCAAAATTACGCCAATATGATAAAAAATGTTCACATTTTTGTTGAATTAGTACTTCGTTATAAGTTAGAAATCTTAGAAATATTCACAAGTCGACAATCCTAAGACTCCAGAGAGGATTGATGTTGTGTCAGGTGAGAACAGGTACATGTAGATCCTTTCAATTGTACTTGTCTTAGGGTTTCTCTGTTCGAATAGTATGGTGACCGAGAAACATTCGGTTTTACACCAACGGACTTTATTTTTGCATTTTGATGGATATTAAAAGCAGGTTAAAATTGTACAATGCTCAAAGAATCCCATCTTTATATGTTAGTCAAAGATCACGACAAAGAGTTATGGGTTTTGTATATCTGAGTTGTGTTTTGTTCTTTTTTTCTCTCTTATGTGGAAATCTTTGTACACTGTCCGAAAATTCCACGGCCGTCTTCAGTAAAAAAAAAAACAAAAAACAATAGGAACTGAACTTTCTGATGGGTCTTAATTGTCCGTTAGTATTTTTCTTTCTGTAATCTATCTTTTCCAGTCTCTTTCCCGCTCTTGGTGATATCTTCATGATATTTCTAGCCATCGACGCAGGTCACGGAACCACGAGAACCTACAAAAAGTTTTATAACTTACAGGTAAAACTATAAAAGTGATAACCTTCGCCCAACATACAGTATTGCGACGAAATAACGTTGTATGAAATGGCATTAATTTCATTTCGCCTGTTTTCGAGTGTGTTCTGTTCAGTGAGGATTTTCTTCTGTACATTTTTTATGTGTGAGACTGCTTATTGCCGACTGGATTTTAATCATGTTTATCATTAGAAAACAATATGTAACATCTAACATCTGTGGTTGTCGTTTTTCACATTTTAATTAGAAAAGCTATCCAATTTCAACATCTCAGCTGTTATCCCGAGTATGAAGAATTATGCTTTTTAGAGCTGTTTTCATGTGACTCACCGTGTTTTGTAGCGGCAGCATCACATAATTTCTTAAACTTGCCGCTGGAGACCAGTTTGCTGAATCCCGCGTTCCATTTTGAGTTGAAGTCGTTGTCTTTCCTAGTCATCATCCCAATGCCGGACAACATGCAAGAAAACCCAGCCCCGGGGACTTGTTCAACCTCGGATACATAGTCTGCCATGTCTAAGGCAGACACGAAGGCCGCTTCTATCTATTTGTGAAAAAAAAGAGTAGATTAAGACTAGGATCCCATACCTAAATCGATTTAACAGGAGCGGTCTAAGGGGTTTCACGCTAAAATGCTTTCAGTTTAAGCGGCTTAGATGTCTGGAACGCCTGCTAAAGCTGCTAAACGATAAGTAACTATCCCCTAGCTGCTTCAGTAGACGTGACAGGCATCTAAAATTGAGCGAGAATCCCCGTGGAGATAGATAGGCTCTGGGAACGGTTTCTTAGTTTCCACCAAACATGATTGTGTAGCATTCTCCTCATCGTAGGCATACTGTATGAATTTAAATATGTCAATTCTCCTGTAATATATGACGAAGTCAAATTCCGTTTTATCTGCAATGTCTCAAGAGCACTGAACACTTTCTACATTTCAAGATCGGAATCGAATACGCTATATATCTTACTTCTCCACTTTTCAACTTGGCAACGATATCTGCAGGGTTATTAACGTGGACGATGGTCATATTGTCCTGACCCGTGACGTCAATCCATCTGGCCAGACATTTCTCGTCACTAGCCCAACCATCAATGAAACCTTGAATAATCAAATAGATTAATTTTCTATTTTATATTACTATTTCTATTACCTACCTGAATGACAATACAATGGTAATACATTGATACAGGTAATCTATATGATACACGGATTTATTTAAAGAAAAACTAAACAAGACTAACAAGACAACTTCATAAGGGACGGCTACGGGTGATTTAGCAGTCTCTATATGAATCTTCTGAGTGAATACAGTAGGGGAGACCGGGGCTAGTTGGACCCCGGGGTAAGTTGGCCCCCCATTTTTTTTTTATGACTAAGTAACTATGGGGTAAAAGAATTGATCACATCAATTTGTGAAGTGACCGTATCCAACGGTGCTAAGAAAACGTCGGCAGTGAGTCCAAATGAAATAATTTAGCATCTTTTAAAAGAAACTTTATTAAAGAGACTTGATGGGGGTCCAACTTGCCCCTTTGTAGTTTGGAGAAAGTATAATTGACAGTTATTACAGAAACAGACTGTAACTTGAAGAACATAACACTGTGAGCTGTCGACGCTTTATTGTTGAAACACTAAAAATATCGTCAACATCTTTTTTCTTAATTCAGAATAGTAATGCTTATCAACATAAATGTGTCTTACCGATTGTCTTGTTAGCTACATTTCTGGATGGAAACGAAGCCGCGTTCCCCGTGTTCGTAAAAAAATAGCTGGTTGGGGGTTTGAGGAATGGCGAAGAAAAGCTGAACACCTGGATCCTACCTATGGTTGGAAACCAGCCGGTACAAGCATCATACCAACGGCCCATCAAACCTGAAATGTTTTGGTTGTAAAAAAATTATCCGTAATATTACTTCGAATTTCGCAGCCTCTTTTGCGAAATTAACAAAGATTGAATAATATACTTGAACACATATTGAATACCAAGTGCACCAAGTGGTTCAATTATATTTCCCAATATTGTTGATATAAATGATAGAAAAAAAACTGCTGGCCCAGGGCATACCATATGCTTCAGAAATATTTTGAGAACATGAATATACGTAGTCAGACAGAACTTACATGGGCAATGTCGATTCCCAAACAACTAAAAGACCAAAAACATTCATTTTTGAAAAGAATGGGGATAAATTTGTATTTTTCATTGCAATCAGTGATATTTATGTGACGAAGTTGTTGTCTTTATCTTTTGCTGACACACACACACACACACACACACACACACACACGTCACTTACCCTGGCCGCCGTGTGAGGGTTGTCCTGGGGTGGAGTCCCAGCAATTGACGTACTTATCCCATACAGTACGACAGTCCATGCCAGCCTCGGTACAAACTAAAAAGATATCAGTATTCCAAAATTAAAAAGACACAGTTTTACATGTAGACCCTATCTGTCAATATGCACTAATATGTCGACCCAGTATGTTACCTACAATAATTTTTTAATTGCCTGTCATGGAAATCATCCGAGATGGTCTAAACCGAGGCTCTCAGTAATGGATGACGTTACACAAGATTAGAAAATGTACAAAACCCGCGTGAGCTGGGGCTCAGCTTTTAACAAAAGGGTAAATTCTGTGCACCGGTAATGTCTTCTTTCTAGTCCTACATAATACAAAGTGACACATAACGGTGAATACTCTGTACACACAGGGACTGTTGTGCAAACGACAACAAAAACCTAAGTGAAATTATCCGTGGATAAATTCCGTCATCTTTTCTTTGTTTCCCTATACAAGCTGGTCTGCCATTGTTTCTGACCCCACTCTCCTCCAAATCCCTAAAAATCTCTCTTGGTTTTATGTTTAGTTGCGAGACTTGAGACTATTTCGGAAGATTACCATTTTGGCTTAACACATCAACTTGCATGTCGTAGTACAATGTATATGTCAACAAGCGAAATTTGCTAAATTAGTTTAATGAGTGACAGAGCATCAGATGGGGGTGGAGCAAACAGTGATCAAAGTATTTGAAATGCAATTATTACTTAACATATTGATGAAAATGAAATGTCGATTTACCTGCGTCAATTAAATCAAAATGAAAGCCTGCCAAGTAGCCAGAGGTGTCTCTGAAATAAGAACAATACAGCTATGTGTTATGGATAGGAATGTTAGCACGTGACAATTAAGTCTTTGATTGCTAATTTTATAGAAACCACAGTGTGTTGATTAAAATGTCTTTCTCATAAGAAATGACTTTAGATATGCCAATGAACGTTATCAGCAGAGATAACTTTTTTCCACATAAAAATCTACCTACATATATTCGTGAGCGCCCCAGTCATGCCCTATGGCAATCGTAAAGATCCGTCCTCCAGACGACGATGAGACTGCTGAGCTTGAGCTTCCAGCAGAACTGCCAACAGATGATCCTTGTCCAGAGGTGCCGCCACCTACCGGTATTGTGGTTTGGTCGCCTTGGATGGTGATGTTTGGAGTGGTCGAGGATCTCGACACTGCCACTACAGCTATAACTATGGCTACTACGGCGACGATTGCACACACTGCTACCAGTACTATCAAAATGCGGTTTCCTGAAGGAAGAATTAAGAAAAGAAAATTCATGATTGGCATTATTTGGTTGACAGTTACATGTGTATAGGCCTGATGAATGTAAGCTTCAAAGCTCAAATTGAATAAAATCATAAATGATAATAAGAAATGAATGCGAACAATTGGTTCAATTTAAAATTAAAAAGAAAGTAGATGAGAGATAAAATCTAAGGGCTAATGGAGAGGCACGAGCAACATAAGAGCAGCGAAACGGAATCTACAAAACCTATCTGTAAACAAACATCCATCATAGCAGGAGTCCTGCACATCCACAAGGTGTTTAAAAGGATGGAACAATTCTAATATGGTAATTATAAAAAATACGACACTGGAGACTCGAGCAATATGCGTAAGTCAAATGTTTGAAGGTGATAAAAGAGGTTAAATTATTAGACAGAACTTTTATGGTCCCCCATGATGAGAGAGAAAGTGGTAATGGAGTAGGCCCAAGATATCTGTGCTGTCATTTTAAAAAGCATGATTAAAAAAGGTTATAACCCATGACTGCAGCTGGCAGTATTACACATGCAGAACTTCTTCGTATGTGCTAATTGGTTGTGTTTTAGTTACCATTCCCACATATATTTAGATCGATCTATTCCCCTAGGGAGTCTAACTAAATTGCTATCAACTTGACCGGCTTAAATGTCTGTCACGCCTAGTAAAGCAGTAAGGGGGTAATTATCTTTACCCTAGCTGATTCTGTAGGCGTGACAGACATTTTTAAAAGCGTCTTGAGCTGACAGCAATTTCGCGTGAACCCCTAGGGAGTTAGGTCGATCTAGATGGATCGATCTAAATACGTGGGAATGCAGTCCTAGTGTAAGGGTGATGGGAGGGATAAGACAAACAAAAAACATTAGATCAACGACGTTGCATAATAATCACATTAGGTACATTTAGTAGGTCTATCAATTGCACCATAATATGCTATGAAAAATGTATCAATGACGGTATTAATCAACAAGTATGGGAATCGACCAAGTCCAAGAGGCTTTTGAGTGTCGTGAGTAAGCGTTAAACCAAGTCACGCCTTTTTGCGAGATATGGCAGAGAGAGTGGCCAGAAATAATAATGGACAAGCAAGTGCGGTGCTGTTAGATATACAGAAGCCGACATGTTATAGGCGATATCCCAAGCACGTGCCCTAACCACTAAGTTGTAATACGTATAGGATGGGCGAAACGTTTCAGTGGTTTTATAACACTTGTCAAGATTTTTTACAGCATGTAATTGCAATTAACGTCAATTTCTGTGAGACATTAAGTAAAATTGACTGAATTCAAGACAAATCTATTAAAAAACAGTTCAAGTAGACAAATAGGGCCTATCTCTGGCAACGATGTGCAAGGTCGCGCACGTCTTTGTATCGCTACAAATATCAGGGGCGGATACAGAGCTATTTTCTGACAGTCTTCCAAGTTATCTTTGTTGATCCATCCTCCATTTTGACCGTCTTCCGACAGATAAAAAATTAGATACCCGTCAAGGTAAACTTGAAAATCTGACCGTCTTCTGGAAGACCCAGAAGACGGCCTAAATCCGCCCCTGAATCTAGCCTCTACAAGGCATGTTAACTAAGTTATAAAAANAAAACAGCATAAATTCCCTAAGAGTGACCCGATCATGCTGATTTTCGAACTTGACCTGCGTATTATGAATATTCATCAGTTCTGCAAGTTTCAAATCAAAAGGCAAAATGGTTTTCCACTTATCGTGTTATCGGTAAAAGTGCACGGCGACGGCGACGGCGACGACGGCGACGGCGACGACAGACGCAGATGATGGCTATATGTACAGACACATCTGTGTCTGTACATAAAAATGTATGTACATCGTAGTGACACTCCAATATGTCGGCATGCCTCAATAAAAACAACTTCTTCAAAGAATTAACGATCGATATTCAGCACTAAAAATACTTACTGGTGTCAATATTTGATGCCATTTTCCCCACTAGGCTTCAGTCGAATGAGCGGTTACACTTATTTGGTACACCACCTCTTCTCGTAAAAATACAACGTTAGAGCAGATACAAACTAGGTTTGTTTTAATTGTTTTAAAATAGAACAAGCAGAGTAATGAAAACAAAAAATATGGAAATTGTAAAGCTTACTTTTTACAAGCGATATTCGTTTCACCAAGTGCTTTAGGTTTGTGAATATGATGCATAATGATAAAAGAAATATTTATTTACTCTGCATGTATATAGTGAGAGATATATAATGAAAGAGGAGAGGTCCATCTTTGGTCCTGCTTATTTCAATTGCAGTGAATGCCCGTGCTATGCCACTGTGCACAATGATTCATTAACTTTTCGACAGTGTAGAAGAGGTGTCAAATCCGTGCAGTTGCCACCATTTTACAACTTTTGACGTCGATATCCCAGCAATGGTTTTGCAAGTAGACGTCATACGGTGGGAGGCGTTCGGTGAAAACAACAGCGTCGCTGCGCGGCAAAAAGTTCCAGCTATGTACCTTATTTAGTACTGAAGCGTGAAGGGCGTAGGGAGGCATGGCGCAACGTGGTCTAACTAGCGCACCCTGTAGACGCCCTGAGCTTCAGAGTTAAATTGAAACAATCCTCTACACTATTATATACTATACCGCTAACATTTCAAATAACTTGAGACGGCAGATGAATGCTATAGTGCAGAGGATTGTTTCAATTTATCTCTCCAGTGTGGGTGACTTCGCGATATTCCGACTTTTTTTTGTTGAGCACCTGCGCATTTAACTGGGGCAGGACCATATAAAATACTGAAAGTGAAATCTGGAGGGTGTTCATACAAATGCATGCATTTTCATAACAAGACGGCAAAAAAAAAAAAAAAAAAAAAAAAATGAAATTTTGATATATTATTCAGCATTTTTCTACAATTTATGTGCTTTACCCTTCAAAACCGTGGTCGACCAATTCATCCCCCCCCCCCCCCCCGAGTTTCACTCGTCCTATGGGTGGGTACATCTCTAGTGGACAATTATCTCGGATGCTATATTTATAAAGGATAATGATTTGAGGAAATACTTGCTACCAAAACATTGATTCATTTTATTTATTTTTATGCCTTCAGTGGTTGAATGTTCATTAGAAAGGTGTATCAAAACAAAAACACAGTTTACCATATAATTATATATTTTAAGTATCTAGTGAAATGGCCCCCATGACAAGCTCTATGAAGTACATGACAATAAGCTCTCTTGATATTTACAATAATCAGACAAGATCAGACTTATCTACAAAAATTTCAAAAGATAAACTACTACTTTAATATCTGTCTTTAAAAAGCAAAATTAGGTGCCTGAAAAGTCTGATTAATCTCCTGCTAGAATGACAGAATATCTTGCTTTGAGCAGATATTTCATTTTCAATAAATAATTCATTTTTTTCCCTTTATTCTCCATGAAATGGTAATTTCTGGCAGAATTGGACTTGTTACCAAGAAAATCCCTGCTGGACTGAAATAAACACTCAATCTGAGGGAAAATCATCACTTGTTGTTTTGCTAGACATCTTCCATTTCACATTATATCCTGACAATTTGTGCAGCTATATTCTGGATCAGTTTGGTGTCCCCGTCACCAGAGGGCATCTGTACAGCAACAGTAGCATAGGTTCCTCCCACCTGACCTTTGGCAAGACGTCCGGGATTGAGACAGCAACAGCCGTGAACCTCCTGGAAAACAATATGAAAGAAAAAATTAAATATACTATTATTCCACATTTCTGTGAGACCACAGATTCAAGAGATTTCAGGCAAAATTTTGGGTTGAAAGGAAAAATGGCTCTTTGCCTAGGGTGACGAAAATTACCTTTATAAACTGCTTGAGGTCGGAAGGCGTGACAAGCAGGTGAGGGGTCACAGGCAGCTGGGCGTGGCCATCAAACAGCTCATAGTCAATGTTCACCTCATCAGATGGTGGGTATAGGGGGTAGAAACTGGCAAATAATACAAATATGTGTGATAAATTATAAAGATTTAAAGAAAAGGCCAAGATATCTAAAAGTTTTTTTCTTACCAGTAAATGAGTGTGCAACTCCATCATAAAATCATTCATAAACATGCCATTTTACTTTGTAATTCTTAAAATCAATTGTAAAAATTTGTAATGTTACTAAATTGACTATTTTGAAAAAGGAATAACAAACGTATCTAGGGAAAACTAAAAACACATCAAAGCAAGCTACACAGTAAATACCTGTGCTGAGTTAAAAGATGGTTGACATTTCGCCCCAGCTTGTCCGATGCCCCATCACTGAAAAAACGATTTTAAGTCACTTAGATCTTTAAGGCATATAATTGGTGTAAAATGCCAAATGTAACAGTGTGATTTAATTCATAATGCTTTCTCTTATCCTTTATAACTAGACCTCTTTCACTTTATTCAATCATTTATAATACTGTACTGAAATTAATTTTCCAGATTTTTTGCCTGAACAGTTGAATGTAATTAAAATATTTCATAAACACAAAATATTTCAGTCTCTATTTAAAAGCGATTACAAAACTCACATCTTCTTGATAAAAAACTACCTCTTTACAACTTAAGCCAACATTCCTATGCCCTTTATCCTGTCAGACCAAACAATTCTTACTAACAATTAATCATAAAATATGACAGGTAGGACAAAAATAGCAGTTTCTTTGAAAGGACATTTAAAGCAATTTCAGGCAACATGGCGGGGTGATTAAAACATGTTCCTCTAATGTTCTGACACGTTACTTTATATATATCAAGTTCAAACTCAGAATATTAAAATATAAACTCACTTTGCAACTTCTTCAATCCCCATGTGAAACAGTATGTCAGTTGACGAGATGGCTATCACTAACCCGTCCAAGCTTAAGGTACAGGGGTCAGGCACAAAATGGACTTTCTACCAAAAATAATAAAATGGAAATAATAGATAAATAAATCGCATATGTAAAATCTGGACAAATAATAAAAATTAGCTCACTTTGAAAAACAACGCCATCTTCTTCTTCTAGTTTTACCCAATATAAATTTTGCATAAAAAATGAACCTTTTATTTAAAAACTACATACACATTATAATAAAAACTTTACAACTTAAGTTAGACAAAGTATATCAACTGTAATTTAGCGAATTAAAAAATATCAATTATCACTAACTGCACCCACTCCATCAATAATTAGTAGTGAAATAAGCTCTAAGTACACAGGGGGATGTTACGGCCCAGAAGAGGCTATTATGCTGTACCTGTCTTTTCGGACCACAGGTAAATGGCGGCTGAGGATACACGGCCTCATGGTGGACATCACGCTGAGACGGAACTATCACCAGTTGTGTAGGTAGCCTAAAACAGTTAACCATTACTTTATCCAATATCATATAATATTCATTCATTGTCACTGTAAGTATAGAAAGACCATGGGATTGTGCTTTGGGCTGGACTATTTGTCCTGATATTGCAGTGGAGAATATGGCTGGAAAGGTCCAATATTGGAGTGGCGGTTGCCAGCACAGTGTGGACAATAAGTCCGACTCTGCTTGGGAATGGTGAAGTCTCTTTCCCTAAGCTTTCAATGTCAGTTTGCTGTCAAAGGCAAATAATATACGTAGTGCATCATTAAAAATCATCCTCTTATTAAAGCAGCTATTCTTAGAATATAACTAGAGTAATGATATCCAACACCCCCTTGAAACTTATAATGTATACTATAATATGTGTTGTTCAATAAACTCGTAAATTAAAAAAAAAAGAATGAAGAAGCTTGATGCTAATGTCTGTAAAGAATTATGTGATGAGCAAACCAAATATAAAAAATAAAAGTTAGAAAGAAATAGTCTCACCTGTCAACTGATTTCATCAACTTCTCCAGAAGTGTTTTGAAATACTCTTCATAAGAACACTCCATATTGCCTTTCTGAAAAGGAAATGTTAACATAATTTTACAACTACAGGATGGTAAATTCAGATAAAAAAATTAAAAGATAGGATTCTCAGAAACAAGCAAACTTTTAAAGATCTCTGTTGGAATCACCAGCTGGAATCAAGTATTTGATGAAAACAAGGTTTATAATAATAATATCAGAACTCAAAGGCATGTCCCTGTTGAAAAGTTATAAGGTAAAAAGAAGCATATCAACTTACCAAAATTTCCTCATGTTTGACGTCAACAAAAGGTCCAATCTGAAAATAATAAAACCAAGAATTTGGCAATTCTCAACTGCTGGGAATAATTAAAAATTAACAAATGTAAGCCTTTTTTAATCTTTAAAATGTGATATCTCATGATACCACTAAGAGACTTATGTGGCTATTGCAGCCCCTTTTTATTTATCTTAAAGGGATAACAACTGTTCATTTTGGCCAAAACACTGATTTTCCAGGGGTAAATAACAATTTCCCCATACTTATCAATAGTTAATGAATCCGTTCCGACATTCAAAGTTGGTCCATGTTTTTAAAAATTTGTTTTGTTTTTTTTATGCAATAATCTCTTAAGAGATTACTACAGGGGCTAGCCATCTATGAAAGTCACATGGTCAAATGGCAGGCACAGATTCCAGAATCATTGTGATAACCGCTGTTTTTGTAGGTAAATTGAGAGCATAGAAAATTTTTCGGGCATGAGCTTTTTATAAAAAAAAAAAAAAAAAATGCAGACATGAGCCTAGGTTTCAAAAGAAAAAACCTCTGGACATTTATTATAGGACCCAACACCTAACCTTGATGAATCTCAGGAACCATCAGAATCGAGTTAAAACACAGAATTCTGCTTTTCAGCGGAAAAAGCTCATGCCCGAAAAATTTTCTATGCTCTCAATACAAGGGATCCCAGTTCTCCCAGGCTATCACCTACCAAGACACAGACATCTGGTCTCTCTTGGTGGATCTTCTGCTCCAAGTCTCTCAGCGGTTCATATGACAAGCTGTCTGAAGTTGTAAATGGTCCGGCAGCTATCATTATGTGGAGATCTATAACGACAGGTGACAAATAAGTACTACTTAAAGACATGTGTTCATGAAATAAAAGTAAAGAAGATTGTACATGTAAATATATCTGTATAGATAATAGTGGAAATGAATAAATTTTAAAAGCAGCTAAGTAAGAAGTACTTTACAAAGAGCATTCCATGGACGATAATGATAATAAATGATTTAATTAACTTTAATCTTCAAGTAACTGAACAGGTGCCAACACCAAGTCTATAGCCCAGTCACAAAGGTATACCACATAAAACAAATTATAACAAGACTTCTTATGCCCAGTGTTTTCATACCTTCCTCAAGTGAAGGGACATCTGGCAAAGGCAGAGGTCCACTCTGGAATGAAGAATTCTAACTGCTAAGACAAATTTAAAGATTTGGTAACCCACACAAACATACATTGGGGGGGGGGGGGGGGGGGGAAAAAATTAAACCAAAAAAAAAAAAAAATAAAAATGATAAAAAAATTAAAAAAAAAAAAAANAATTAACTTTAATCTTCAAGTAACTGAACAGGTGCCAACACCAAGTCTATAGCCCAGTCACAAAGGTATACCACATAAAACAAATTATAACAAGACTTCTTATGCCCAGTGTTTTCATACCTTCCTCAAGTGAAGGGACATCTGGCAAAGGCAGAGGTCCACTCTGGAATGAAGAATTCTAACTGCTAAGACAAATTTAAAGATTTGGTAACCCACACAAACATACATTGGGGGGGGGGGGGGGGGAGAAACATTAACCACTACATATACATAATAGTAAATATGAAAAAAATTGAACAAAATGAAAGTAAAAATCTTTATTTTTACCCAGGTGAACTCTAAATAATTAGCTGAATAAATCATTTTCATTACTGTTATTATTATAGTTATTTTTATTACTCTCCACTCACCCCAAGTACTTTTTTGGCCACCAGTTTGTTCCCAGTGCTGTTCAACCCTTCTATTGCTACAACCTGAAAGCAGATAAGAATATGTAAAATTGTGATACATACAAAACCAATTTTGGGTTGTAGGGAGGAGGAAGAAATGACTTGGTGCCCTTGTGACGGGGGTGGAGGGGGGGTCTAAGAACTGATGAAAGTGGAAAATTGCTAAAGAAAATTGCACTTTCTATTTTGACTGGAAAAAAAATCACATCTATTAACTTTCTTATAAATAGAAATGGATATATCCATTCTTCTGCTATCTCAAAAAGTTAAATTAGACTAATATAAATGCAAACAATTTATGAAACTCAACAAAATTGTAATTGCAGCACTTCAAATGAAGTAAGTTGAATCTGTCAATAATTCAAATAAATCCATTTCAAATCTTTTTTTTTTCACAATTTAATAAAATTTACATTATAACTCTGTCATACCTGTCCAGGAAAGAAGGAGAACTGCTGAATGGCAGACACGTCAAGAGGAATCTGTTTCCCAGATGATGTCTGCCGCGAGCCCTCCAGCAGTAGCGACTGTTTGTTAAGTCTGCCATCACCATCACAACATATCCTGCCGACAACAGTCACTTGGTCCTGATAAATTGTATGAAATCATTGAAAATAAAATCCCCAGTTGTGTGTTGGGGGAGGGGGGGGGGGGGAGTCAAAACACATCTAATTATTTCTAATAGACTTGACTAAATACTTGGCTTGGGTTACTGAAAATAATAAAGAAAAAAAACACGTGGAAAATGACAGCAATGAGATTNAAAAAAAAAAAAAATGCCAAAAATGATAGCAATTAGATTGATAAAATGTTGCAGTAATGCTCCTTAAAAACACTAAAAATATCATATCGACATACCTGAGCTGGAAGAGCCATGTGAGAAAACTCCTCTATTCCATACTGTTTCTGCAAATGATCAGCCAAACTCTCAATCCCATCATTGAGTACTGCAAGTGAAAAAATTACTAAATTCATAACAAATTGCAATAAAAATAACACTGATAAAACAAACAATAATTATTTCTAAAATGCTTACTGTAAATCAGGTAGGTAGTAAACACCTTTACTTTTGCTAACCAAAAATGATAACAAATTCTGTCCATTTACCATGCGCTTTTTCAGTCAACTTCTGGAACATATACTTCTGCTTTTCTTTTAAACTCTGTTCTTCATCATACAAGGTCACACTGCATGGCCTTGACCTTTGACCCTGTGACCTTTTCAGAAGGTCACCATTACCAAAGGTGCATTCAACTTTCCCTGCATTAGACCTGCTTCCATATTTACGAGATGGAGTGGCAGCTCTGCAAGAGGAAAAAATCAATAATGAAAATTGAAACTTTCAAGTGGTGCTATGTGAGACACTGCTTATTAGTAGGAAAGAAAAAAATCAAATGTAAGGAGGTGCTCAAGTTACAGAAACTGACAGAAGAAATCAGAATGTAACTTCAGCAATTCTAAAGGCAAAATGACACTAGCTACATGCACAGAGTTTCTTTTGCACGTAATTTCTCCAGAAAACTATTTCAGAATAATATTTCATATAAAACAGATTAGAAATAAGAAATTTAACACAAAACTTGATAGCAAAACTTGCATACGTATATACGTATATACAGACATAAAAGAGAAAAATCACACAAGAAACACCTTGGTAATTCAAGACTTACTAATATTAAAAACATCAAGTGCTTTCATCTATTTCAGGGAAATATATCATATAATAAAAACAGTTATGCAGTAAATTAAGATAAAGTGATGAAGACTCACACTGAAGGAGACATGGTTGTTGGAGAGAAAGGAACAGCAGGACTTCTTCCCCATCCTGTGAACCTTTTACTGACTGCATTCTCTGGGGTGTGCTGACGTTTTTTAGTTCCTTGCTAAAAAGAGAAAAGGTTTAAGAATACATCACACAATTAATCAAAGTAAGGAGTAATCTCAATTCAGCTTTTAAGATAACCCTTAAAAAATTAAAATTATTTTTATATTAAAATAGAAGTAAGCCATTTACTGTATAAAACTTATATCATATAATTACTATCTTTAAGAAGATTTTTTGGCAATATTCACCTTGGCACCTGGCGTACCGTAAGCACCCAGGAGATCCTCTACATCTTCCTCATCTAACCTGATACACAGTTAAGGCAATCAACCCTTTCATTAACATTCAGGTGCATAGCTTATATCGGGAATAATATCAAGAATATCTCACTGACTCTATCACCAAGAACCAAGCCTGAAAATGTTTATTTAAAACAATGGAAAAACTGTCTTTGTAATAATTCATAATTTATATGCTTTTATTTTCCTAACTCAATATTTTTTTTTACTTTTTTAACTGAAAAATGTAAAACAGGACCTATGGCCTTTGAATTACTAATGCCAATGGCTGAAATTCTATTTTATGCTTCAATTTGCCAAACTTGCTTTCATTTCTAGTATAAGGATAAAAATCATGAAAAATCTAAGGCACCGTTCACATGAAAATCTAAATTCTAAAAATCCAAAAATCCATTGGCAGTATCTACTGAGTAGTGATTACTGACTGTGCCCCGAATACCCTGCGGCATAATTAACTAGCAAAGCAAGCGAGTTACTTCCTAAGCTGTAATTAAATCTTCAGAGAACAGAAGGATACGCGGCTTCAATAGTGTCCACTGTGTACATCACTGGTTCTGGTCTTCTGGACACAGTCCTGGGGGTCTTGGGGGTCTTAGACATCTTACTGGTGACCTTGGCTAATTCCTGAATTAGAAAAAAATTAGAAGGTATTTATATGTTTCAGAGTTAGATGACTCCGTTTTTACTTTAAAACCTAATCACAAAAAAAAAAACAAAAAAACTTTTCATGATTGTAAAGGTGATACAACTGCTTAAATAAAAAAAAAAAAAAAAAAAAAAAAACTCACACATATTACAGCCCCCATATTACAGTGTACTGTATATGTTCACACACATATTATCAAATTTTTTCATGTTCATCACAAAAGTTATTTGCACTCACCTCTCTCTCAAACTGCTGTAGACTATCCTGGTTCAGACTTAGCTCTGCTCCACCCTTGGAGAGCCGGTAGGCCATCCAGGAGCTGGCCATCTCGCTGGCATTCCTGCGGTAGCTGACACATAACTCCTGCACTGGAAATAACATTATAATTCACAGGATACCTTATGTGGAGAGTGGCGTGGTAGTTCCATATTTTTAACGTGATTGTGGAGGAACTACATCATATTCTAGACGGTGAGGTGTAATGAAAAAAAAAAGCATTAATATATCAAACGACATTTTGAAGTTTTGACTTGGGGGGGGGGGGCTGACACTGTGACAATGTTTATAGTTTTTCATATTTTATACACGGAAGACAGCTAATGCGAATTTCAGCTATACATCAAGTCATGAAGAAATACTTACACTTGTTTATCGTATCAAGATCATCTAAAACGAACCCAAAGGTTTCGAATTCCTCAGCAAGTTCTTTTTCGTCAACACCTGCCATTTTCTGATTTTGCCGCGAAACGATCGTGCGTAAATAGGTCACGAAGATCTCCGTATTAAACAGTATTTCAAGCGTCTAATTGGTCAAAAGAGTATGTAGGTCATGCATCATTATTTATTTTGGACAACTATTTTATCAATTAACTACTGATTTAAGATATGGGTCAATAATATAAATTATCATTCGTCCTATTTTTCTTTAAAGGTTGGAATTTTTTTGGGGTAAAATGTATTACTGCCCCGCACTTGGGCGTCATTAGTTGCAAGATGGACGACTGCGACTTGGAGAAGCTGACAATAAAACCAGGCAAACTTGAGCCCGCATTCAAGCGAGACGTTACAGAATATCATGTGACATTAGGAAGCGAAGTAGAAAAGATTACGTTTGATCTGTTTACCAGTGATAGTGGTGCATCGTACTCTATTTCGGTAAGAAAACATGCTTAAGCCTACTCGGCTGTGACAGAATGCTGGGTGCTACTGGGTACTGTTGAAGTGTTAAGATTGTTAGCACTTTGCAACGCACCTAAGTTGATCTTGAGATTGGTTAGGTGGATATTAGTCACTAGAGCTGTGATAACTTGCATAGTGCACGACAAACAGTACAGACAATTATCTTATCAAAGCGCAGCTCTTCAAAAGATGTCAGCTGTTTTTTCTTCTGCTTGAGGCATTAGTAGCCTTTAATTAGGTCCTTAGTCTGCTACTTTCTAGATTTTACTGAGGCAGGTTTAGTGTTGCCATGTAATATATTGAATTAAAGCCTGGCCTTTGACTTTGCATATACGGTCATTTGACTTACCAGTAGCTGCAGTGATTATTCAGCCAGTTGTATACTGGAAACAATAACATTTCCCTTACTATTTGTTAACTGTTTGTCACCTGGCCTGCTGTTAGTGAGGAACCAAAACTCTGGACGCAGTATCCCCTTTTCCTTCATCTCCAGTATTAAATTGAATGCACAAAGTTACTAAAACTATCCAANGTGCAAGTCCTGTGGACCTTCATTTTCTCCAAAGTTTTCCCCATGTCTGGGTATATGTACTAATGTAAATACTGGCAGATGCATATGTTGCTACTTGCTGATTATTACAGATAATTGTGAATATTTGTAACATTATATAATTGTGTCCTGAATGTTATAATTATAATTCTTTGTGTTAATATTTTTCAGATATACACAATCTTGGTCACTAAGACCCAAATTCCTCGATACATAAAAATACCTGATGCCTCACTAGCAGCAGCTCTAGAGTGTCCAGTTTCCCTTGCACCCCTGTACTGCCCGGTCACTATCAACGGGAGTGACCCCAAACACAGCTTTTCTGGACCAATCATAGATGAGCTGACAAAGACGTCAAAATTTGACCCTCTGAATGAAATGCCGCTGGCGCTGGATTGGAGGATACAGGATTACGATCTAGAGAAGAAGCTGGCCCAGGCCAGTGGCTGTATTCCTCATGTTTATGGAGGTAATGACTCATGGATGTCTGTGTGAAAGATTTATAAAGAAAGTGGAATTAAATATAACAAAAATACCCATAATTTACATATTTGAATTAAAGGTAAATCTTTGATGAGTAGACTTCACATATTAAAACCAAGTGCATGCGTTATCTTCTGCAGGAGCATCAGAAACTGTGAAGGTTGGACAACTTGGAGAAAAACTTGCTGATTGCAATCAAACACCAAAAGCTCAGGTATTTGTTTAACTTCAAGTCTCCATTGACCTCATCTTTGCTGCACCTCTCTTGATCTTATAAACAACAACATCAGTTCAGGCATACTGAGCTTTTAAAATAATTACCTGTCTTAGGAAAAAGTTTATGAAAAGAATTTTTACGAATGACTTTTTAAAATGAGTGATGAATTTACATTTTAATTTCTACTTTATTTGTCTTGATCAACATTTCCTGTTTCAATCAATTTTTCCTCTCTAAGCTTTTTACTATCATTTTACATTGCATTGAAAAGTCCAATGAACAAATTTGAATTTTAGACACTTAATTATTATTATTATTATTATTATTATTATTATTATTATTATTATTATTACTTTAGTACGCTATCTCCTTAATACTACTTTGAATTTATCCCTTGTAACAGTTTCAGCGAGTTTTTAATTTAGATTGCATCTTTCCTATTTTAGGATGTGAAAGACAAGTTCAAATCAACAGACGCTCCCATCACTCACACCATCCAAGTGCGGCCTTGGGAGAAACAACTTCATCAGATCTTTGATGAAACCAATGCCACTAAGCTGGTCACTTTAGGAAAAAACTCTGTTCAGAAATACTTTGAGACATTACCCAAACCAGGTAAGATTAATGAAATACAAGTTGAAGGATTTTTAATAAGCATATGCAGCTTTGAGAAGATATTTGTTTCAATATCAACACCAATTTTTATTAATAAGAAACTGTTCTCTCTCCTTATCCACTATCATTATCAGGTAAAGCACCCAAGTTTGCCGAGGGCGAGGGCCCCTTAGATCATCTCAGCCATGCTGCCTTTTGTTACGCCTGTGCCCTGAAGACCAAAGGCAAGGATGCCAATGTCCACCTACAACTTGGCCTAGTCTTGGAGGAGAAATACTATGCTGAGGACATGTTTCATTTGAAAAAAGAGGTATAAAGTGCAAAATTGATTTATGATGTTCGGTGTTTTACTGTTACAGTATATCCATGGTAATTTAGTTTTTTTTTTTGAGTTAATAAAAGTTCTTTTTCTCTGCTACATGTAGGTAAAGTACAACTGAGATGGCTAAAAAGCAACATTTTCTTGATATTTTGTCAATACCATTGAAACTGACAGATGCATTTTAAAAAGAAAGCAAATTAGTATTTCAATTCTTCTCCAGAGAGGTATTGGAGAGATTGCTGGTATGAACCTCCAAGCCAAAGAGAGTTCCAAAGCTGAGGAGATAGCTGCTATCTGTAAACTCCATGGCTGTGAGCCCAACGCCCCCCTCTCCCTGCAGCTGAAGGCCCTGGACACAGAGTATCACCAGTTAGTGGACAGTGGTCAAGGGGACAAGGCTGAGCATGTGCAGAAATTATACGCATGGAAAAACAAGCAGGCAACTCAGGTATAGAATATATGCCTTCCAGGATGATGATGATGATAATGATGGAGTGTTAATATTGATGAAGTCTAAGAATTATTACTGCTCTTTATTTCTTGTATATTAATGTACATAAAAATATCTTGATTCAGAGTTTGAAAATAATCAACTGAAGTGCTTGTGCATGTGCTCATTTTCACAAGGTAATAACACCCGTAACATAACAACATAGCATTAGATGACTACCATAACATGACATCACTTTACACAGAAAGTTGATGTCAAGGACTGGAAATAAAAGGCTATGTATAATAAAGATATGGTTATTCACAATTCTAGTCAATAAAATCACCCCTCCTTCCAGGAAGGTGAGGCGGCCCAGAAGGCAGAGGACCAGGCATCCCCCCTGGGTCAGGCCTACCTGAAGTACATGGATGCCCTGTCCCTGGACGAGGCCAAGGCAGTGTACCACTTCCATGTGGGCCGCCTGCTGGTGATCCAGGGTAACTACCTGGAGGCCGTGAAGAGACTGGAGGTGACCCTGAGCTGGAACCCTCAGTACCAGATGGCAAGGTGAGTGGGACAGAACCCTTAGTACCAGATGGCAAGGTGAGTGGGATTGAACCCTCAATACCAGATGGCAAGGTGAGTGGGATTGAACCCTTAGTACCAGATGGCAAGGTGAGTGG